GCAGGAGGAGAAGGGCCCCGGAGCGGAGCTGCCACCCTGTGACCATGCCCCGGTGAGGGGGCCGGACTTCGAGGGCAACTTGGCGCGCACTGCTGGGGCTTAGCGCGAGGCCAGCGGCCCGGAACTGCACGGCGCGGCCCGGCGGGGGGCTATCGTCTATGTCTTCTTGGGGCGCCAGGCGGATCGGGGTCTCGCTCCTGCAGGAAGAGCCCGGCGCGGGTGGCTTCAGGTGGCTGCTGTCGCCGCCGCCGCCGCCGCGAGTGCCGTTGCCGCCGCACGGACGAGGAGCAGAGGCAGACGAGCGGGGAGACCTCCTGGGCAGCGAGGCACCGGACATGTGTCAGCACATCTGGGGCGCTCAGCCGTCGAGCCCGAGGGGAGATTTGCCGGAACAATTCAAACTGCGATATTGATCTGGGGGGGGTGACTGTCCCTGGCCGGCTGTCGGGTGGGAGTGCGAGTGTGTATGTGTGCGCGCTGTGTCGGGCGCCCCCCTCCCCCCCTGTCTTCCCGTCGAGTGATGCGCCTGGAATGAGAATCAGAGGATGGAAATAGTCTGGGAGGTGCTTTTTCTTCTTCAAGCCAATTTCATCGTCTGCATATCAGGTAGGGGACGCGCGGGAGTCGCGGGTGGGTTGGGGCTGTGCTGTCGCGGTCGCAATGGTCGGGCTTTTAATGTGTGTGGACCCTGGAGTAGCCTCCTGGGGCTGAGGGGGAGGTGGCAGCGACCTTTCCTGCGCTGCAGGTTTGCTGCCTTAGGAATTAAAAACCTGAGCCCGAGGAGTGTGAACGCGTGTGCGCGTGTGTGTGCGTGCGTGTGTGTTGGGAGGTGGAATGTGTGTGGAGGGAGAAGGGATGAAGACGAGAGAAGAGGCAGAGGGCTGTTGATTTTCAACTGCTTTTCTGGCTGAGAACTCTGGCGCCGAAATATGAGCCTTGGCAACCCTTCCACCCCCATCCCCTGGCTTTCAAAGTTCCCAAACTCGGTGGTGCCCGGCTGGCAAAATGGATGCAGAGCTCTGCCCTGGTATCCAGGCAAGAGACTGCAGGAAGATGCGGGGTTGGAGAGTACCCGCAGGGACCGGTAACGTTGCCCCTCCACACCTTCCCTGGGCACACCAGGGCCAATTGTGAGGTCTGACACCTCGTAGCAGCGAACCGCCTTCACCCCAAATAAAATAACTACCCATCTGAAAACACACTGTCGTAAAATGCCGATTTAGATCACGCTCCTGTTTAATTCCCAGTGGCAAGGATGTGCGGTTCCGATGATGATTCACAGATCCCAGGCCTCTGGTGCCAGCCTGAGGTGGAGATGGTGCCCTGCCTGTGCTTGAGATTCTGGGTGCTGGGAGGCATTCCTATTTCTGAGCAGTGCCTTTGTTGGTGCAGGAAGTCGGGAGGGGTGGCCTTGGGGAGTGGTGAGGCCCCCAGTATTCCCCCAGTTCAGTGGCCCCTCCCCTTAGTAGTGCTGGCTCCACTTTATTTCACACATGCTATTTAAACACCCAGAGCAATGCCCCTTTGCAGCGTTCCCCTCTGCCTGCATTCCCTCTGCAGAATTGGGGAGTCAGCCAACTTCTCATGAAGTCACCCAAGAGTGGAGCAGGGACTCTGCCCCTTGGAGCAGAAGCATTGGAAAGGACATGGCTCCCAGCCCTTTTCTTCAGCTCTGTTAGTCCCCACCCCCTAAGCCTGGCCTGATTCTGGCTGTGGAAAAAAACCAAAAACAAACCCAAACCACATTTGTTCTCCCCTCCCTCTGGGCCCAGCCCCTGATACTACTGTTTGTTTTCAGCCATCCCCACCTCAGGCGGGAATAGGGAATCTGTCATCTGAAATTGCTGTTTGGGACTTGGCTACCCTGTTCCTGCTTCATGTAGACTTTGGCAGTAGGATATGCGGTGTACCTGCCACCTGTCTCTTCTGCATTTGAGAGGGAAAATTCCCAGCTGACTTATAAGGACTTATATGTGTCGCTGGACCAGGGATGTTCTGGGTAGCATCTCATTTGTCTCATTGTAAAAATCTTTCTCTTCGCTGTGTCAATTCCAAACTCTTCTTCCTGGTCCAGAACATGTCACTAGTTATGAAATAGCCTTCCTCCCTCCCTCCCATCTCCCATCTTAAGGATGAAAGGAAAACCACAAGAGCCAGACACAGCCTGCTGAGCCCCTTTAAGATTTACAAGGGGTTGGCTTTCACTGAGGCTCTGGATCCTACCCTCCACTCCCCCACCCCCACCCTCCCTTCTGCATCCAGTCAGCTGGGGGACCAGCTGAGGAAGGCCCTGGCCATAGCCTCCAAAAGAGGCATCCATGAGATACCGGCCACGGCCACAGCTCTATTTAATTCGGTCCATCAGCAACTAAATTATTTAAGTGGCAGTGTTAGGAGGCGTGGATTCTGATTGGGAGGGGTGTTTTCTACCTGTGTTTTACCTAAATAACCCTCGTGGCTCTGAGGAGGGAAGAAAAGCCCAAGCAGGCTTGCTAGCTATTTGCTGAGTACAAAACTAGGTTAACGTTGCAAATGCCTAGTTAGATGCTGCATTAATTTGCACTATATGAAGACACTTAGACCAAGAGAGGCAGCATTATGTACTCTGCATTTACGCACCCATCGCCTAACTTCAAAAGGCCCTCCAGGAGCTGAACTCCTCCCCAAGGGAAGCCAGTGAATGTCAGTGTTCTAACCCTGACTCACCATTGCCACCATTTGGGGGACCAAGGCTCCTTCCTCCCTTTCACCATCTGACAGCCCCCAGAGAAAGGGGGTGCACCGTCAGTGTGGCTCAGGGGTTTCCTGGGCTTCTCCTCTCTGTTGTTGGCCATGATTTACAGTTTTAATTTCTTCATGACTGAGCTTTCACCAAAAGGCACATAACCTTGTGCTCTCAGATCCTACTGAATCTTTAACGAAAAGCCGATTTGAAACAAAGACACCTCTCTACCCTCCTTGGGTGCTGCTTTGGACTGGGCAGCCCACTCTCAGTGACCTTCCCCTCTGGAGTTGGAATCATTCCTGGGGCTCAGCAGGGGAAAGCAGGCCCGCAAAAGCCAGTGGCAGAAACAGATTGCAGAAGGAAAATGTTGGCACTTGATTTGGCCCACGGAAGGTAGGTGGACTGAATTCCACTGGGTACGGGTTGCTTTCAGAGGCACTCTGGTGGCGCTTTGTGGCTTTGTTTGTTAACCAGAGGTCCCTCATAACACCCCAACCCCAACCCCCTGCCCCAAATTCAAAGAATGACTTTCGGGGAGGACCTCCCCCTTAGATGTGTCTGAATATATTGCTTAGAACTCAAAGAGACCTGGGCTTGGCATATGATAGCCCTTCGGGGAAGTCTGTTGTGATGAAGCTGTCAGCTGATGGGGCTGGGGATCTGCTGTGGAGCCTGGCTTAGCTGGCTTCTGGGAGAGTGGCATGTGTGCCTTGAGAGATTGCATCAATTTGGGCTGCTTAATGGCAGCACAACTAGGCTAAAGAGGGAAGGCTAGGGCCTGGGAGTGTTCCTGGCTCTCCATTAAACTGAGATCTCATCTTACTGAAAAGGTATGGTACCCAGGATCTGAAGGGACTAGAAGGGAGAGAGAGAGAGAGAGAGAGAGAGAGCGCATCAGGATGCTTTTTCTCTGTGCTAGCAAGAACACCATCCTCGGCCTACAAAAGCAGTTCAGATCAGCAAGAATGAATGCTTCGCAGCTCGAGACAATTTCCTGGCCCAAAGACAGCTGCCTGATTTAATTTACACGATGCATCCTACTTCCCCCTTATGTAACTTCTCTTCATTGTCAGTTTATTCCCAGTAATATCAGCAGCAATAGCCACTGGAGTTAAGGTGTCTCGTTTATGTCCTTTGCATGATGTTGCATCGATGTTCAGTCATTTGTTTTGGGAATTGGTGGGGTGTTATTTTACAAATGAGGCAACCCAGACCCAAAGGTCCCAACCTGGAAGTTCCACACCCAGGTTTACCTGACTTGAAACCCAGTATATCATTTTGGATTCAAGATTTCTTTCTAATGATTGCTGTTCCATTTTCCCCCCTGCTGTGATGTCTCCAAATGAAAGAACATGTAGTTTGTTAAATGAACATAACGTGTGTAAGGCTTTGGAGGTGGGAGTGCAGGGTGACTGGTTTAAAGCAAGAATGAAGGTAGGCTTTGAGTTGTGGCTGACTTTGTCAGTCAGCTAGATGAGACGGTGGTTCAGTTTTGTTCCCAGTGTCCTGGGGTCAGAAATCCCTACGACCAAAGGATGTTTTAGGCATTATTGTCTTCACCTGAAAACTGAAATGCTTTCTTACGGTTTCTTTGGGAAACTGGGACCATGAGACACACCCTGAAAGTTTGCTTTATGACTTAAGTGAGATAACGTGTCTAATGCCTGTCTTGGCCCAGTCTGGTGCACAGGAAGCTTGCGACCCTAGTATGATTTGATTCCAAATCTGACTTTAGGTTTGTGAGTTCATGGTAACGTAGAGGATCTGCCTGGACTACCTTCTTTCCCAGTCAACACATTTAAAGGCAAAATTACTAGAACAGAAGCACCAGCCAAGGAAGTCTGGGTTAAAGAATTTTGAAAAGGTCCCATGATTTTCCTTTTAATGCAAATGAGGCAGGCGGCATTAGACTTTGGTGCCGTCATGAACGGATCCCTGAGAGCGTCCTGTTGGAAGGAGCCTTGGGAAGTTTCATAGGTAGTGCTTGCCGTGGGGAAGATCAATGGAATTTACTTCTCTCTGCTTATGTATTATAACTTAGGATAGAAGCAACCTTAAAGGCTCTCCCAGAATCACAAGCTGCATGTGGCTTGGCATTCGAAGAGGCCCTTCAGTAAGAAAGAGCCCCCCTCAACAAAGAACAGTTAGCAGATTATCTGAAAGCATATGGCTTGTTTAAATTCAAGTTTCCCGTATGTTGGCATAGCCCTTGGTCACTGACTCATACCACTGGCATCACCGAGGAGATAATCAAGAGAGGGCTCTGAGAATGTATAAAACCACAGGGGAAAATACAACTTTCTTCTAGTTCCTAAATTTTTCTTCCCC